GACGGCACAGGTTGCCACCCCGGGCGCCACCCAGTGAACCGTCAGGGGGCAAGCGTCCATCGGTGGCGAGTAACGACGACGACGACGACGACGATGATGATGATGATGATGATGACGATGAAGATAACGATGAAGATAACGATGATGATGATGATGACGATGACGATGATGATGATGATAACGATGAAGATAACGATGATGATGATGATAACGATGATGATGATGATGACGATGATGATGATGACGATGATGATGATGACGATGATGACGTAGTACCTGTATGAGTCGTAGACCCTCATGAGGACGAGGTAGAGCCTGTGATGACGATGATGACGATGATGACGATGATGACGATGACAATGATGATGATGACGATGATGACGATGTACCTGTAGGAGTCGTAGACCCTCATGAGGACGAGGTAGAGCCTGTGATGACAATGATGATGATGATGACGATGACGTAGTACCTGTACGAGTCGTAGACCCTCATGAGGACGAGGTAGAGCCTGTGACGACGATGATGATGATGACGATGACGATGACGTCGACGTACCTGTACGTGTCGTAGACCCTCATGAGGACGAGGTAGAGCCGCAGGCGGCAGGCGTCCGCGGGGTGCGACCCCAGGGGCCCCACGGCCTCCAGGACGCCGGCGACCTCCGCAGGGCCCAGCCCAGGCAAGGCCTCCTCCAGCAGGCCCAAGCACACGGCCTGGCACTCGTCGTCCCTGCCCGGGGGGTCACGGGGGGGTCACGGGGGTCACGGGGGGGGTGGGGTCAAGGAGGGGTCAGAGAGGGGTCACGGAGGGTGGCGGGGGGGGGGATCACAGGGGTCACGGGAGTCGTGGGGAGGGGTCGGGGAGGGGTCACGGGGGAGTCGAGGGGGTGGCGGGGGGTCACAGGGGTCACGGGGGGTCACGGGGGGGGTGGGGTCAGGGAGGGGTCGCGGGGGTCATGGGGGGGTGGCGGGCGGGGGGGTCACAGGGGTTACGGGGGTCGTGGGGAGGGGTCGGGGAGGGGTCACGGGGGTCGCGGGTTAGGGGTAGCGTGCGTCTCTGAGGCTGTTGTGGTTGTTGTTGTGGTTGTTGTGGTCGTTGTTGTGGTTGTTGTGGTGGTTGTTGTGGTGGTGGTTGTTGTGGTGGTCGTTGTTGTGGTTGCTGCTGTTGTTTTTGTTGCTGTTGTGGTTGTTGTTGTAGTGGTGGTTGTTGTTGCTGTGGTTGTTGTTGCGGTTGCTATTTCAGTTGTTGTAGTGGTTGTTGTTACTGTGGTTGTTGCTGTGGTTGTGTTTGCTGTGGTTGCTGTTCCGGTTGTTGTTGTGGTGGTGGTTGTTATTACTGTGGTTGTGGTTGTTGTTGTTGCCAGGTTGTGGTTGTGGTTGCCGCTGTGACTGTTGTTGTGATTGTTGTTGCTGTGGTTGTTACTGTGGTTGTTGTTGTGGTTGCTGTTCCGGTTGTTGTGATTGTTGTTACTATGGTTGTTGCTGTGGTTGTTGCTGTGGTTGTAGTTGTTGTTGTGATTGTTGTTACTGTGGTTGTTGCTGCAGTTGTTGCTGTGGTTGTTGTTACTGTGGTTGTTGTGGTTGTTGTTACTGTGGTTGCTGTTGTGGTTCTTGTTGCTGTGCTTGTTGTGTTTGCTGCTGTTGTGATTGTTGTTTCTATGATTGTTGTTGTGGTGATTGTTGTGGTTGTTGCTGCTGCTGCTGCTGTGCTTGCCGCCGCACCGGCTGGCCAGGATCTTCAGGAAGCCCACGGCCTGCAGCTCGGTGTAGAAGCTGGCGATGGTGGAGGCGCGCGTCGCCACCACGCGCAGACACTGGGTCTTCAGCGCTCCGTGCAGCCGCGGCACCAGGCTCAGCACGGCCGCTACGAACCTGCCGGCAAAGCGGCACCGGCCGGTTAACGCCGCCCAAGACGCCTCACCAGGCTCAGTAGAGGCCGCTATGAACCTGCCGGCAAGCGGCACGGCACCGCCGGTTAACGCCGCGCAAGATAGCGGGCTTACCGAAACTGCGACTACCAGATTCGAGGACTACGCTCTGTTATTACCACTACTCCGAAAAAACCAGATAGCATGCCTGTGCAGCAGGCGTGGTCAGGGTAGAGATCAAACCCACGACCTCCTGCGTACCAGGCGAGGTGGTCAACATCTCCTAGCCACCGTGGTGATGATGATGAGAGAGAGAGACGCAGACTCCAAATATGCAGCAGCAGCAGGCGTCGTCAGGGTCAGGATCGAACCCATGACCTCCTGCGTACCAGGCGAGGTGGTCAACATCTCCTAGCCACCGTAATGATGATAAGAGAGAGAGAGAGACACAAACTCCAAATATACAGCAGCAGGCATCGTCAGGGTCAGGATCGAACCCACGACCTCCTGCGTACCAGGCGAGCTAGTCAACATCTCCTAGCCACCGTGAAGATGATGATGAGAGAGAGACGCAGACTCCAAATCTACAGCAGCAGCAGCAGGCGTCGTCAGGGTCGGCATCGAACCCACGACCACCTGCGTACCAGGCGAGGGAGTCAACATCTCATAGCCACCGTAATGATAATGATGAGAGAGAGACACAGACTCCACATCTACAGCAGCAGCAGCAGGCATCGTCAGGGTCGGCATCGAACCCACGACCTCCTGCGTACCAGGCGAGGTAGTCAACATCTCCCAGCCACTGTAATGATGACGATGATGAGAGAGAGACGCAGACTCCACATCTACATCAGCAGCAGCAGCAGGCGTCGTCAGGGTCGGGATCGAACCCACGACCTCCTGCGTACCAGGCGAGGTGGTCAACATCTCCTGTGAACTCACCGGTCGGCGAAGGGTGGGTGTGAACGTGTGATGAGCTCCAGGCACCCCACAAACTTTGCCGGATCACTGCGCTGAAGCGACTCCAGCCGGACGGTGGCCAGGTCGGCAAGCCCCTTCTCACCCTCCTGGAGATACACGCAGACACACACAGATACATACACAGATACATACAGAGATGCATACACACAGGTACATACAGAGATACATACACACAGGTACATACACAGATACATACACAGATACATACAGAGATGCATACACACAGATACATACAGAGATACATACACACAGGTACATACACAAATACATACACAGATACATACAGAGATGCATACACACAGGTACACACATGCAGATACACAGACACATACACAGATACATACACAGATACATACAGAGATACATACACACAGATACGTACACACAGATACACAGATACATACACACAGATACATACACGCACACAGATACATACACACAGATACATACACACAGATACACACATACATACACGCAGATAAACACATACATACACACAAATACATACACAGAGATACATACATGCAGATACATACACACAGACACACACAGATACACACACACATAGACACATATACGCAGATACACACATACATACACGCAGACACACAGGTACACACACAGGTACACACACACACACAGATACACATACACACAGATACACACATACAGATACACACACGCTGACACACAGATACACGCACACACACACATACAGATACGTACACACAGCTACACGCAGACACAGATACACCCACACATGCAGGCATACAGATCCATGCACACAGCTACACATAGACACACAGATACACACATACAGATACACGTACAAACAGACACACGTACACACAGACACGTACACACATACACAGAAACACGTACACAGACACACACACGTACACAGCGACACATACAGACACACACACGTACACAGCGACACATACAAACACACACACACGTACACAGAGACACACAGAGACAAATGGACACACGTACACACACACAGACAAACGTACACACAGACACATGTACACACACTTACACGGACACACGTACACACGGACACACACAGACACACGTACACACACTTACAGACACACGTACACACACACACAGACACGCGTACACAGAAACACATGTACACACACGTACACACAAACACACGTACGCGAACACACACATACACACAGACACACACACAGACACATAAAACACACAGACACACACACGTACACACACACACACCTACACACACACACACACACACGTACACACACACACACACGTACACACAGACACACACACGTACACACACACACAGAGACACACGGACACACACGTACAGAACACACACACGTACGTGAACACACACGTACACACACACGTACACACAGCGTACCGGGTCCGATTGAGACAGCTGCTCCAGTGCAAGTCCCAGCACCTCTGCGGAGGCTGCGTAGACCTCCTTGTAGCGAGTCAGCGACAGGTTCGACACCAGGACCCCATAGAACCTACACACACACGCGCACACACGCACGCACACACACGCACACACGCGCACACACACACGCACGCACGTACACGCACACACACATAAGCGTACACACACACACATAAGCGTACACACACACACATAAGCGTACACCCACACACATAAGCGTACACACACACATAAGCTACACACACACATAAGCGTACACACACAACACATAAGCGTACACACACCACACATAAGCGTACACACACACACATAAGCGTACACACACACATAAGCGTACACACACACACATAAGCGTACACACACACATAAGCGTACACACACACAT